TCTTACAAAGCCGGCGAATATTTTTTGAAAAATGTCCTCAAAAATCGACGTGAAAACATTCCTGTGTCCTCTAGTCAGTAGAACCTGTGAAAAGATTGGAAAAGAGTTTTTTTACGAGTTAGTTGGTCGCCAGACATATATGTTTTCTGGGATCAAGAGGTTTAGTTTGTACAGTCGGGAAGAGGTTTTCTTCCTTTTTTGTTTTAGTTGTCTTTGCTCGAATGCTAATAAACCCTGATTATGCTCATCTGATTTTGTTGGAAGGGTTTAAGAAAGGACTTGAGGGAGAAAGGACGGAGAAGTAAAGAAATCGGTAAGGCTTTACTACAATCCATAAGTGTCAATCAAGAAACTTCATTGGTTTTTCAGTCACAGAATATTTCTTTAGATAAAACACATCCATCCGTCATCACTTTCTCTCTTTCTTTCTCTTTCTCTCTCTCTCACATCTCCCTCTTGTTCTCTTTCCAAAGCCAAAAGGGGACGCTTGCTCTGCTTTGAAAACATTTCCCATCACAGTTTCTTACTCAACTACATCGCCAATAGCGTCTTCAAATTTTCCGATGGCTGAAAGCGCAGAGGAAAGAATTGCGTCTGGGGATAGGGACAAGTGGAAACTTGCTTCTCCAGTGAGTTTGTCGACGTTGTTTCGACGCCCAAAGAACGAATTGTGAACGAAGGTGAAATTTGTTCGACTTTGAGATCTGTTTTTGAAGATTTTAGAACTTTTCGCTATTTAAGGATTTGGCGCAATTCGATCTTTGATGATAATGTTTTGCCGTCAACAGCTCCTCCATATTTGTATTTAATTCAGTTAGATACCCTTATGAAACAACCTTTCCGTCTATCGAAAGTGACGAGAGTCTCCAGAAATCAATATGCAACTGTCTAATCCAATCATATTTGGGAAAGATGCCGGAGAAATCTTTTAATCCGCTATGGGTAATCTTACATGGCCTAACAAAACCACAAATATCTCTAACTTGGACATGTTCGTGTTCGCATTCTACAAAAGCTTTCCTATGTCAAGCACTGATCGGAGGATATCTCGTTTTTTAAGCTTATAAGGTATTTACGTCGCCTCCTGTCTTTCTCTTTCTGTGACAATTTAATGAAGTCGGGGATAAGTTTAGCCAATAGCGGAAAACTTCCTCTCAGTAATTACTGAAGATCAATACGCATATGAGTGACTTCTTGCATATTTAATTATTCTCTCATAAACTTAGATATGCTTCTGGCTATACTTCTCTACTGTTTTCCTGAGCATCAACCCAGCGCTCTCCCCCCCCTTCTCCTGCTCTTCGCGTCCCAAAAAAGTAACTCGTATTCTCCCGTTTTAGTCGCAGTCGCAAACTATTCACATGTCATGCAAATTTATAAGCCCTAGGTCGCCTTTTCAATATTCTCTACAACATCAAATGACCAAAGAAGAACAAAAAAAAGAATGAGCGTCAACCAAACGTATTTTGACACCTTCTTCCGATGAAGATGAAGCATCTCCTCTTATTTCACGTATTCATTTTCGTTGTCACGACCTGCATTTTTGAATTTGCCGCTTCCCATATAAGCTTGAATTCTTCAGTCTCTAGAGAGACTTCCGATGAAATTCAAGCATTTTTTCCTCCATAATTTCATGCAGTGGCCCAATCTGAATATAACCCGAAGTTTCTGTTCACATTTTTTTGTTGTCTGTTGCCGGATTTCGCGGGAAACACGAACAGCATCGCGCTCATGGCAATGTAAGTTTCTTATTATTTTGTTTTTGTTCATAAAAAATAATATTAAAGGAGCGGATTAGATGTTTATGCTCATAACTTGGAG